GGCGACGGGGCCAGTGCGAGCCCTGAGGTGGTTCGACCGGGGGTAACCGAGATAGCAAGGTTGCCTAGCGCGACGCCGGAGGCGGCACTGCAGTTCAGCGACTGGGTTCATGCGGTGAGGCCCTCGATGAGCGACTTGTCCGACTCGTCAGCACAGTGTTGGGAAGCCGTGTTGGGGGAAGCTCAGCGATGGTACAATTCGTCATTTGTGCCTGCTACCCCCGTTCAGCGACTCCGGCCGTTTCCCTGATCGACTCGGAGCCTAAGTGGTCGAGGGTGAAGCATAGGATGGAACACTTGGTGCTGCAGGCTTGCCCGGAGAGCGTCAAAGAAGAGCTTTCCTCGGCAAGGATCTCGGGACTTCTCCATGTCCTGTGTCGTTTGCATGTGATATACAAGCCTGGGGGCTTGCAGGAGCGCACTGAGGCTCTCAGACAGGTCCAAGGACCCCGAGCAGCTGATTCAGCAGCTGATGCAGTGCTTCGTTTGCGCACTTGGAAGCGATGGCTTACGCGGTTGGGGGACCTTGGAGGAACCCGTCCGGACCCAGCGGTTCAGATCCAAGCGTTGGAGACGATCACCAGTGGGGTTTTGAAGTCAATGGGGACAGTAAACTTTAGGGTGAACTTAGTTCGGGCTTCCTTGCAGCTGGACACCCAACCGTCCAATGATCGGGTGGAAGAGTTCTATGAACATGTCTTGGCAGAGCTCGAGAGCGCAGCCCGTGTGAGCGATCCCAGCAAGGACAAGGATAAAGGTCAGGTCCGGCAGGTTGAGGCCAAGCCTACGCAAGGTGCTCCCGGTGATGCAACAGGCGCAGGTGCAGTAAAGGTTCCGCCGAGCAAGCCAGCAGGTCCGTCAACCCAAGCCGGCGGCGAGGCCACCAAAAGGTTGTGTCGATGGTACCATGATGGCAAGGGATGCCGAAAGGGAGGCGAATGCACGTTTGCTCACGAGTGGTCATCCATTCCCAAGGCAGAAAGAAGTGACAGGTGTATGCGTTGTGGAGGAAAGGGCCACAAGAAGGACACTTGTTCAGCCCCATCCGGCACGCCAAAGTCAAGGGCGGAAGCTAACCCGAAACCAGCGGGTAAGGAGCCTCCTATCAAGTCTAAAGGCGAGCCGGGACTTAAGAAGGTCCTTTCAGAGGCAGCAGGTGTGTTGCGAGAGGCGCTGAGGGGATCGATGCCCGAGCCTGAGGCTCAACCGGAGCCTGCAGCGTCCACTCCAAAGGCGTCCTCTACATCCACCGAGGCGATGTCAGCAGCCGCCCGAGCGGCTTCGGACCCTCCGGTCATGGCAACAGCGGCTAAGATTGAAGCCCAACTGCAGGACTTGGAGGCTCGTGTTCTTGAAGGACATGCGCGGATCAGGGCCGTCACCAAGGATGAGGAGGAGGAAGCAGATGAGCCAACAGCTCTGTTGGATTCAGGGGCAACACATACAGTGTTGGACCCGGCAGCAGTGACTCCAGGTGATCTCGCACCATGCATGGTGTCGCTAGCAGGCGACCAGAAGCAAATGTGGAGTCAGACTCCGGGGGGCTCATTGGTAGCCCCGGCCAAAAAGGAGGGAGGGGTTACTCAGACCATACTACCCCTTGGATCCTTGATAGAGCAGTTAGGCTGTAGCATCCGCTGGACGAAGCGGTCCGGTTTGCAGCTCATGCATCCAAGGTTGGGCAAGCTTGAGACAAGCATTCGGAGTGGGTGCCCCCAGATCAGCAAGCGTCAGGCACTTCAACTTGTCAAGGAGTTGGAGGGAGCTCATGTTGGAGAGCTGGAGAACCGTCTCAGAGCAGTTCAGTCGCAGTTGGCCCTGCAGACACATGTTGGGTTTCAGGAAGTCCTTGATGAGTTTGTGTCAACCGGAACCCAGAGAGCGGCACAGATGTTGTTGGATCAGCTGCCCTTCTTGCTGCAGGTCCCAGGACGCATAGCATCGAAGCTTGCAGTGGGGTTGGACAACCTACAGGGTTGGGAGGTGTTGAAGGCTTTCCCTGTGAACAGAAGGACCCGCAAGAGGCTCCACAACTCAATGTCTTGGGTTCTTAGTCTGTGCAGTGGCCGGGGCGATTCCCGGTTGAGAGCGTACTGTCAGGAGCAGGGATATGAGTTGGTGGAAGTTGACTATCTCACCTCCCAAGGCTGGGATTTGACGTCACCAGAGCTCTGGCGAGCACTGTCATGGGCGGCATACACAGGGCGTATCAGTGCCGTTGTTGCAGACCCACCCATGCGCTCGTGGCACCAGGTCCGTACGGCCGACGGAGTTACCCAGCTTCGAACCCGTGAGCATCCTTGGGGAGTGCCTGGTCTCAAAAGGCAATCCCAGGAGCGAGTTGATCAAGACACCCTGGTTGCGTTGCAGCCGCTTTGGATTTGGACGATCGCGTCCATTGCCAAGGGGCAAGGTGTGCCGTTTTGCTACAGTGAAGGCGAACCCGGAGGTCAAGGGATCAAGGCATGGGCTGACTCAGTCATGAAGCCTTTTATGGAATGGAGTAACTGTACTGCATTCAGGGTCCCGGGGATTGCCGAGGAGGGAGCGTGCACCCGGCCATTGAGGGTGTATAGCAACTTGGGTTTCTCAGCGGAGGATCTAAAGGGACTACGGCCTCTGGGAGCAAGACCGGAGGTGTGCGCTGCAAAATGGCCAGAGGTGTTCAAACTCCGAGTGAGGCTTCTGATGTTCGGTGTTGGAGCCAAGAACCCCCAAGGTGGCAGTAGCGTGCAAGTCCAGAGTCCCAGCACAGAGGCTATACTCGATGCGGATGATGAGGGTTCAGAAAATGGAGATAGTCCTAGGGTTCGGGCGGTAGAGCAGGGGCAAAGGACAACAGGTCCTGAGCAATTGGGGGAGGAAGAACAGGAGTTCATGCGAGAGCTCGATCAGATCCCGTTGGATCATGAAGAGCTACGTAAAGATCAACCTACATCATCTGAGCAGCCCTCCGATCTCAGGCGTAGTCCCAACCATGCCGAAGCTAAGACCCGGAGTACCGCAATGACCCCTAAAGAAAGAGAGCTTTGGAGGCGTCATGTCGAAGCTCACCACTTGCCTTTCAGAAAGGATTGTCTGCAATGTGTGATGAGCGGCGCTTTAGGCTTGCAGCATCGGAGAATAAAGTGTCCCAACATGTTTGCGCTGAGCTTTGATCTAGCAGGTCCCTTCAAGGAGCTTGGGAAGGACGAGAGGGGAGGCAAATACAGGTACGCACTCATTGCCGGATTGCGTGTGCCCGAAAAGGCCCTTCCTCCGCCCAAGGAAGCCAAGAAGGAAGCCGTGCCCAAATGCCCCGTGGAGGTTTCAGGAGAACACCAGGCCTCATCAGGCGGCGTTGCGGGCCCACAAGAGGTAGGACCAAGGTTGCCTGAAGGATTTGTTGACGCGCCAAGTGGTGTTGAAGCTGATGCGCAGTCGGAGGGTAGCTTCTTTGATCCGTCGGAATGTGAAGAGTTGCTAGGTGAGGAGGAGCAACCGGAGGACGCAGTGGTCGATGCATCAGGTGTAGAGTGCACTCAAGCTGAAGGGAGCGATGATCCGTGGGAAGACCGAGAGGGCATCTCAAAGTTGAGCGATGAAGAGTTCGACAAGGAGATAGCTAAGATGGAGTTTAATGGTGAAAACCAGGTGCTTCGGTTTATGGTTCCGATGAAGGGAAGGAAGGGAGTTCACATCCTGGCAGCGCTCCAGGAAGTGGTCGCTGAATGCAACAGGTTAGGCTTTCCTGTTAAGTCGGCCCATACAGACCGAGCCCGTGAAGCAGTCTCCAAGGGAACCACAGATTGGTTGCAGTCGCAGCTGATACAGCCTTCGTTCACTCAAGGCGATGACCCAAAATCAAATGGGTTGGCCGAAAGGCTGGTGGGATGGGCCAAAACACGGGCCCGGCTGCACCTTGCATCGGCCGGACTAGGGCTGGAGCACTGGCCCACAGCAATGACGCTCGCGTGCGCTGAGCACAGGCACAGAGTGTTGCAGCTTCCAGGCCGGGTCCACCAGTATGGGCAGAGGGTCGTGTTCAAGTCAAAACACCCGACCGGCGAATCAAAGAAGCCGTTTTTGCGGTGGGAGTATGCGACTTACCTCACTCCCTGCACCCGCACTGATGCGGGTCACGTGCTACTACGAGAGTCCACGGGGGCCTATGTGATCGCACGAAATGTGAAACCGACGTCAGAGTTGGTCGACCCAGAAAGGGAGTTAGAGGGCGAGGTCTTGGAAGCCGAGGTGGAAGAGGTCCAGAAGGAAGGTTTGCAGGTGCCAAGACGAGTTAGGGGAAAAAGGTCCGTAGCAGCAGTCGCTCTAGCAGCAGAGGAGTTAGCAGAGGAATTGTTGCACAAAGGGGATTTCAGCCCCGATGCTTGCGGCCGGTTGTTGCAGATGTCGTTGGGAGGAGCAGTGTCACACTCACGACGAAGCCACCGGGGGCCTATAGATTTCTCTATGGTGTTTGGAGCCTACTGCCACGGGGGTTTGCGAGGCGTTACGCGGGCCAGTCGAGTCAGGCCATGGTTGTGCAGATACCTAAATGGGTACTTGAAGACCAGGGATGGGGCCTCCAGCTCGTCATGGTCGGCTTTGCTAGTAGTGCAGACAGATGAAGTGGCGATCCACCGGGACGTCAGGAACGAGCCCGGTTCCAGCAACTTCCTGGCAACCGTATCCCATCGCCCGTTATGGGTGAAGCCGTCCTCCGGCAACACAGTATCTGGAGCCACAAAGGTGGGTGAGTCGATTCAAGAGACAGCAACGGGGGACCAGGTCGAGGGCGAGTTGTACCATGTTGGGACAGAAGCGTGCATGTTCGATGCAAGAGACCCTCACGCACTTCTCGCCCCAACCAATTGGGTTGTTGTGGGTTATAGTCCCCTAGGAACCCGCAAGTTGAAGTCTGAAGATATAAGTCATCTTCGTGAATTGGGGTTTTGTGCGCTACCAAGAGATGAGCGGCTGCTACCTCGGGTTTGTAAGCTGGTAGGTCCAAACCCGCAACGGATGCCAGCACCTGTGTTGGGACGGGCACAGCGCCGCCGTTTCCGGACTCAAAACCTGAACGTAAGGTTCGCAAGGATTCCTCCTGAAGAGTGGAGACAGCTGTGTGATCTTGACGAAGCACAGTTTGAGCAAGGGATTGAGCGATGGACGCAGGTGTTGAGCGGCGCCTTGGAGACCGGTGTAGGGCGGCTGTCAGAGGCAATTCCCAGAGGCTTGTTGATCGGAACATTGCGGGATGGAAGACAGTGGGGCGACGACCCAATGTTGGAATACCGCATGCCCAACGGTCAGGTAATTCCTATTGCAAGAGTGCTCCAATTCACAGATGATGACAACATGTATCTGGATGATTCGCCTTTCCCAGATCGCCTGATGATGTTCGATATCCTCGACTTGGAAAGAAACATTAGGGAGATAGTTGTCATTAGGGTTTTAGTGGAGCAGCTTCAGGAACAGCCGCATCCGTTGATGGAGAGGATTCTGCACGAGCCTGGCCCGCCCCCACCAGAAGTGATGGCTGTGCAAGCCCCAAGGCACCGTCAAGAGCAAGCACCGAGCATCGGAAGTTCTGCGAGAGCCCCGAGCCGTCTACCCCTACCGCTACCGAATCCAGCATTCCTCACTCCGTGCGTGACTACCATGAGAGGTGAGGGAGCGGCAATTCAGGAGGAGCGGTTTGCTCGTAAGGCAGAAGTGGCTACGACGGAAAACCTAGAGGAGCTGTTGTCAACGCTCCAGGAGCCACTGAGTGTGACCCACACGGCATCACAGGGCGAGGTGCGACAACGTTTGGAGCTATGGAGACCAGCGATCGAGAAAGAGCTACAGGCTCTTAAGTCGTCGGGAGTTTTGGTGAGCCACTTTGGGCAAGAAGGTCGTGACCTGATGCAGAACCCGGGCACGACAACGATACCCTTGAAGGGTGTGTTCACTGCGAAGGCTCCAGCTTCAGATTCAAGTGCATACTTCCGCAGAAAATGCCGATTGGTTGCGTGCGGCAATCAGGCACCGCACAGCGATGCAGAGTCGCTTTATGCGAGCGGCGCTCCGGCGGAGCTGGTCAGAGCTGCGCTAGTTGAAGCGAGTTCCCACCCGTGGGGAGCATACACGTGTGATATTCGATCAGCCTTCACCCTGACACCTATCCCCAAGGAGGCTGGGAGAAGGTATGTGCTGAAGCCACCCAGATGGCTGGTGGAGCTACAGTTAGCTCAGGCCGACGAGTGCTTCACTCTAGGACGTGTCCTGTATGGGTTTAGAGAAGCGCCGGTGTGGTGGTCTGGTTTTAGGGATGCGGTTCTAACGGGCGCAGTGTTTGATGGTTGCCACTTGGTTCAGGGTGAGGTTGACCCAAGCGTGTGGAGAATCATCAAAAGCAGCGACAACCAGCTTCAAGGGTTTCTGATAACCTATGTGGATGACTTCCTGATTCTGGGAAGTGAAGCAACCGCGCGAGCACTTCACAAGTGGATCCTTGAAGAGGCAAAGTGGGAGACAGACGGATTAATGCAGGCCAAGGAAGGCAGTCCAGTACGGTTTTTGGGAATGCAGTTGGAACAATGTGCAGACGGAGGGTTCACGATAGACCAAGAAGCCTATATCGATGAGTTGATCCGTGCACACAACTTGCCTCCGACCGCCCGGTCCAAGGTCACATGTCCCAAGGAGCTTCTCCAGTGCAGTGGAGGGGAAAGTGAGGAAGGCTTGGATGGAAGCTCAGGCGATGATGAGGCAGCAACCAAGCATGCCCAGCGCATTGCAGGCGAATGCCTGTGGTTGTCCCAGAGAACCCGGGTTGACATAGCCTTCACCACATCGATGATGTGCTCCCTGGTGTCCAGCGATCCGAGACGTGCCGCCTCCATTGGCAGACGTCTGCTCATGTATTTGGCCCAAACCAAAGACTACAAGTTGAGACTCAAGGCAGATCCAGGTGCCCCGGTTGTGAAGCTGTTTACCGACGCCTCCTTTGCTCCGGAGGGGAAGCATTCTTACGGAGGCCACATCGTAGAGTTCAAAGGGTCACCGGTCGTATGGCGTGCGGGAAGACAGCAGATCATATCCATGAGTTCCGCCGAATGTGAATTGATTCAAGTTGTGGAAGGAAGCTCCTACACTGAATCCTTCCTGGCTTTGCTCAAAGACCTTCAGATAGTGTGCTCCGAGGTCTATGTGGGAGTCGACAACACAGCAGCGATATCTCTGGTGAGGGGTGGATGCTCTCAGAGGACTCGACACCTCAAGGTGCGTGCGGCAAAGCTGAACCAACTTTTGAACGAAGGATGGATTTTGGATCATTGCCAAGGCTTGTACCAGAAGGCAGACATCCTTACGAAGCTGCTGCCGTCGGCTAGGTTGAAGTTCTTGTGCGACTTGTTGAACCTTGGCCCTACAGAATGTGCCACTCAACCTAAAGTCCAGAAGGTTCAAGGCTCAGGGAAGGTGTTCAAGGTCTGCCTGGCAGGTTTGCTTACGTGTTTACAGGGTGTGGTGTGCAAAGGCCAACAAGAGAAGCCGGCCATCGAAGTCGAGTGGCCATATGAACTTCTGTTGGCCATGTTGCTCATCATTTTGTCCACGGTGTGCTTGTGGGAGACCGTGAAAAAGGGGTGTGGAGCCCGAACCAACACCGAAGCTACGACCGTCCCCAAGGTGCGCGCCGTCAGCGCCGCCAAGGAACGGAAAGCGAAGAGGCTCCAAGATCGGGTTTCAGCTGCGATAGAGAGTGCTGTGAGCGAGACCAGCCCATCAGGGAGTGAACCCCTGAGAGCGCGAAGAGGGAGGAACAAATGCCCCCCTGACCATGCTCCGAAGGGAAGTACCAGTGCACCTCCGATCATCCAAGCCGGAGTCGTGCATGTGCACAGCCCATCGGATCCGCGCATGAACGCGGATCATGTGTTGGTTGAGGGATACCGTGAGGCCGCTTCTTCATCAACCGCCCAACCAATCTACGGATTGCCAGATCCACACGTGCCAGCTCGGCCACCGCCTGGAGCCTATGCAATCGCCGGCCAGACTCCTCCCTTCCTGTCTGCACAGGTTCCAGAGGAGGTTAGGGTCAGTGAAGAGGGTCCAACACAAGTCCAGAAAGTTTCTCAGATCACGCAAACAGATCCCGTAGTGATACTGACGCCCAATTCCTCGGTCTACATGTCGCAAGGGGGTCACTGTGTTCATTGTGAAATCGGATGTAGAGGGTTGAGGAATGTTGGGCAGATTCACACGAAAACCGTGTGCCAATACTGCTTGAGGAAAGCAGGCCCGCGAAGCGGTTTTTAAAGTGGTGCTGCGGAGCTAGCGCTTGCAGCAAGGAGGAGTGTGAAATCCCAGAGGTGGTGTGGAGTCATGTACAGCTGGGGCGCTCTTCCAAACTTGAGCTGATGAGGCATGAGGATCAAGCCGTAGGCATGAGATTCCCATAGGGCCTCACGACTTGTTTTCCGAGTAAAGCGAAATCGCATGTAGCTAAGACAGCCTGCGAAGCTTTGTGCGTTCTGTGAAAAGTTCGGACCGGTGCGTGAGCCTCCCCATGGTGAAGCCTCCTTTGACTCTGTAATCACGGAGCTGCTATTAAGACGAAGAAACATGGAAGGAGCAGCAGGGTCAGCTAACCCGAACGAGTTTGACGTGCCTGGCTACGGAGCTGTCGGTGATGAGACTAGAGATAACAATCAACACTTATCATTGAGGCCCCTATATTAGTCGCCTGAAGCCTCAAGCACTCAGTGCCTAGGTACAGGCGAACGTGGGAGCAGCGCTTCGCGTCCCAGCAGCGCGTTTCAGCGGCACAAGGTGGGGCTGCCGAAGAATAAGGCCCAAAGGGTCAAATTAGCAGTAGATCAAAAGGGTTCCCTTTAAAGGGATCCTATAAGGACTACTATAAGTTAAGGGTACTATAAGGGTACTATAAGGTGTTCTATAATGTAGGAGGCCAAAAGGGGTTTTAGCCTAGGCGGTTTAGTAGGGATTAGGGTTCCCATAATAGGGTTCATATTAAGGAATCCCTACCCCATGCAAGAATCTTAAACCCCTTTGGGCCTCCCATCAGTAGAGGAGAGTCTATACTTTTGGCCCAAATATCTGCTACAAGAGCCTGCTAGACTGGTACTCGGACCCTTTAGGAGCATCGGGAAATGAACCCTCAAAGGTATTTCACAGCAGGCCATAGACACAAAATGCAGAGTTTGTAGAGCCGACGTCCTAATTATCACAGAACTCCTAAGCCTTTGAAACCCCAAAGCTCCCAAACCCTAAAGCCCCAAAGCCCTTAGGCCCCAAAACCCTAGAAACCGTTAAACCCTCTGGTCTAGAGCCCTAAGCCCTATATGCCTAAACCCCGAGAGCGCTCCTGCGGGACGCAACCCTAAGTCCCACCAAACCCTAAACCCCAAATCCTAAACCCTTATAATTATAACTGATAAACCGCAAACCCAAGACCCTTTATATAACTTATAAACCCTATACCCTTTATATAACTTACACACCCTAAACCCAAAACCCTTTATATAACTTATACACCCTAAACCCTTTTATAGCCTATCTGAACCCTAAACCCTGATACAGTAGCTTATGTAAACCCTGCCCTAAATCCGTATAACTGATATAAGCCCTAAGCCCTTTATATAACTTATAAACCCTAAACCCCAAACCCTAAACCCTTACAACCCTAAGCCCTAAAGAGCCCAAAAAACAAGAAAAGAAACAAACCAACAAAACTATGTAAGCCCTGGCAAGGATCAGATGACAGCTTCGCGTCGGGTGATCGTCGCCCCACAGGCCTCGGCCGAGACTTCTGCGAGCTTTAGGGTTGTGACAGGGTAGATGAGGGTTTAACAGGGTTGGTGAGGGAGGGTTCATAAGAAGGGTTTATGAGGGTTCATAGGGGTTTAACAGGGTTAGTAAGGGCTCAAAAAGGGGTTCATGAGGGTCTGTGAGGGTTCATGTCATGAGGGTTTGTAAGGGTTCATGATATCATGGTTTATGAGGGTTTATGATTGATAAGGGTGTGTAAGGTTTGTACTGGCTTATAAGGGCTTGTAAGGGTTGTTAAGGGTTTACAGGGTTTATGAAGGTTTATAAGAGATTCAAGAGGGCTTAAAGGGTTTGCAAGGGTTTTTCGATTATACGGTTTAGAACGGTTTCGATGGGTTTGGGCTTTAGGTAGTTCTCTACATGAGAATCCCTCCTTTAGTGTCCTCTGTATATGGGTGCCGACTATATTGGGACCCGAACAGGGATGGGATCCTATTTTAGAGAACTTCCCATTTGTATTTCTACGGGTATGTTAGCAAACTAGACTCCGTAACGAGAACTCGGATGAACTCGCCTTCGGCGAAGGCGTCGGCGACTGGACCTCCTGCCTTAGGCTGGGCAGTCTCGGTTTTCGGTTCAAGAGGTGTGCGGTTTCAGGCTGTTTGATATAGGGGCGTCGATAATTGCCCATACCATATTTCGGGGGTTCCTTACTATAAGTATAGTTTAATGGGCCCCACAACCCTACTCTAATCATTGAGGCTCCTATACTATACTAGGGCGTTGCGACTGGAGTTCAGGTTGGTCGGGCTTCTGGGTCTCGGAGCTCTGGTGATGAATCTGCGAGGCTTATTTCGGGTCTGGGTCGAAGGACGGGTTTCTTTAGCTTAGACGGACGGATTCGGGTTCATGGGCTTAGATGGCTTAGAGTTTCGGGTTCAGGTGCCCCAGCAGCTGGTAGAGGATTGATGTCATGATGTGTGGAACGATGTCAATGGCAGTCAGGCTGACATGTTTGCACAGGCAGTGGGCACCAAGTTTGCCCGAGGACGTTCATCAACGGCTTCTCAGTCTAGTTAATCGTCCCTCGAGACCGCCGCCAACCCTGAACCCACTTACATCGAGTTTCTTCATCTTGGGCGTTGCCTTCATTTCTCCGTACCCTTCTGTGCCTCAGGTCAAATGAGCCGGATGTTCTCGCCGAGGAGAGACGGGGGATGGCGTCAGTTTTGGAAGCTGTTGGGAACTGGGACTGGGGCCTGGTGGCTGCTTCGGCCTCGGTACTTCTTGTTGATAATATCATTACTGCCATCTTTACTACTATTAGTATTGTTGTCATTAATCTATCTAGTGTTGTTTCAGTTATTCGTCTGTGGGATGGGGCGAACGGTTTGGGCAATGGCGAAACTCTGAAACGAGAATCCGTGGAGCCCCTCCGGCTCTCCGATCTGCGCCTTCACAAAGCACGGTTTACAGTTTTGGGGGGTTTCAGTTGGCCACACTTCCAGCAAGAATCTTATTCGACCCCAACCACACGTTGCAAACGGTTTGCTCCTTGCGGATCCGACAAACTAGTTCAGAAGGACACTTCTTCAACATTTACACACAGTGCAGACGCTTGGGAAGCACATGAGGCTGCATCTGGCTCAGCCGACGTCAAGACATCTATCAGTGATCCCGGAGTGGATCTAGCAGTTGATCAGACTGGAAAACCTGAGACCGCCATTGCCAAGTGTGGAGGTTAGTATGCAGCGAAAGGTTGCAGTGTTGGCTTGACTGCAGACGCACAAGACTCCGAGTCCATCGCGCAGGAGCCGGCATTGGCAGAGTTCGCGGGGTGTTGCCGGAGACCACAGCTTGATCTTGAAGGGAAGCTTAGGGAGTTTTAGGATGTATAGTTGTTCAGGCATTGCGACGGTATGCCGCGCTGGAAAGCATGTGGCTCTTCATTCAAGAACGGCTCGAGATTGTTCAGGCTCAGTTTAAGAGGGGAATTGCGAGCCGTTCTTTCACACAGAGGGCAGACACGTACTGAATGTAGGTATGCAGACTCTTGATGTTTGTTGCATGCTCTTTGCAGATGTTTGAATCTTCTGACGTTGCAGCCCACTTTCCTGGATTTTGTGAGCCACAGTGGAGCAGGTGGGAGGCAAAGTTGATAGCCAGCCATAGTGTGGCAAAGTGTAAGGACCCCATAAACTCCAACGCCAAGCCACCTATGCTCCAAAGGCACTGTTCTTTGCGACCCAATAATTACGGTTTAGGGTTTAGGAGTTACGGGTTTGCGTGTTTGTATCGGAGTATAGTCACCATGATACCCTGAAGCGCTCAGCTCTATCAGATTTTCTTCCCCACCCGCGGAGATTATCAGGCCAGTTGTGCTTCCCTGCGCGAGCCTGCTGCGGAGGGCTCGGTTCCGCCGTGGACGTGTTGGTCTCTTTATACTCAATAATTGAATGAGGTTTCATTGATTCTTCAGGCTTCCTTGCTTCGTTATACTACACTTTACCCCACACCTTTGTTCTAGTTGTAAAGTAAGGCCCTTACATAACATTCACTGCGTGATGCTAAACACGGCCCATATGAATCCCCCATCGAAAGGCCTCGCCTGTGAACCCTAGCAGGTCGAGCCTCGGCCCAGTCCAAGACAGCTAATCCTCATCTAGGCTGCGGGGTTTCAGATTTGAGCTTTTAGGGTTGTGTCCCTGATAAGGGATATTTATGCTTGATGGGGGTTCCATTTCAAGGAGTTTTCTTTCTTCTGTTTTGTGAACTCCCCTTAGCCGGATGCCCGAATCATCGGCTTGATTCGGTTTCAAACTGTTCCTTCAAGCACCACGGAGGTGATGCATTCGGCCGAAATAGTAGAAAATGGACATCGTAATGGTCGTGGTAATAGCAATACTGATATTAGATCTGCCACGGCTGAAAGCGTAACGTTTGGGGGGCCAGGGAAGTCAGCACCGACATTTCTGCAGCCCGAGCACTGTTAGGGTCCCAGAAACGAGGCCGCCAGCATCGCGCAAGCGGCGCAGGCTGCAGCTCCGGGACTTTTATGTAGCCCTATGAGGGTTTAAGGTTTAGGGATTCGGGGTTTAAGGGTTGAGAGTTTAGGGTTTAAGGTTTATGGTTTTGGGGTTTAGGATTCTTCTTTGTAGCCCTGCTATAGTTAATGAGTTATTTTTTGCTTGGCATCGCGCTGTAGGGTCCACGGCGTTTGGGTCTAAGTTGTTCGGGCCCCGCTGTGGAACTCAGATAATCCAGCAGAACAAGTTGGAGTTGGACTATGTTTCAAGTGATGGTGTGGCCAACCCCTGATCATTCGTGAATTTCAGTCTTCCTACTCCTTCGCATCATTGGTGGTGTGTACAGACTATGGGACCTGTTTTCTCAGCTGAGCATTACCGGGGGGCGTGTGGTGTTAACTGCCAGTCGTCATGTCCACAACGAATAAAGGTTCAGCGATGTTTTAGGGTTCTGTGTTTGTTTCAGCCCTGTTCTAGGTGTCCGGCTCGAGCTGCAGATGTTGCACATGAATGTGCGAGCCTGCATCCGAAGAAATATACCCGTCCGAGAAGTCATGATTGGACAAGCAAACCTATAAACGCCGAAGGCCGTAGACTTAGACCCGCAAGCCCGCAAGCCCTAAACCTCGAACCCTAAACTCCAAACCCTCGAGACCGAAGACACCGGACCCACGGACCCTGAACATTGGTTTCGGGTTTAGGCCTCGACCCCATAGCACACTTCGAAGCTTAAAACCCTAAACCTCATCACCCTCTGCAAAAATTGGCCCCTGAACAGAATACTGAACCTCAAACTCAACTCCACACTCCTAATGGCAGGCGGTTGCCCTTGCAGGAGGGGTGGACCCGCAGTCACAGGCTGCAGGGGTAACACCAGAATTTGTTTTAAATTCAGGTTTCTTGTGGCAGCCGAGGCGGGCTTGCAGGATTAGTCGTTGCAAGGCTGTGTCACGGCCATGGGTTTTTGAAAGAATTGAGGGTTTAGGGTGTGGGGTTTGGGGTGTAATCAGTTGGGAGGTGACCGCCGGTCACGCTGAGCGATCGTCCAATTCTACGACCCTTGTGTGACTCGCTTCCGTTGAGTGTTTGAGCTTATAAGGATTCAGGTTCCAAACTTCGCCTGATTTGAATATGAGACTACACCTGCTGTGCAACACCTGGACGCGGAGTGAGGCAGAAAGCTGTTGTTTCGGATATCGAGGCCCGGAGAGTGTTGTCGCTGTCCCGAGCAGTTTGTCTCGGTTTCTCTGGGCCGCTTCGCACAGCTTGAGACGAAGCTGCAATTCCTTGCCAGGGCCCGTGACATCCCTCGCAGAATAACTTCAGCACATCACCGTGCCATAGGATAGCAGCAAACACCCATAACCGAAACCACAACCCCCGACCATGCAAAACCATTCATCGGCTTACGCTAAACAGTTGGCGTTTACTTGAGACCCAAGACACAATATAGAAGTCATGACTATAGAATCTGCAATGTACATAGAACGTAACTTACACTGTTTTGAATATGGGAGTTTCCGAAAATTGGGGACCCTATTATAGCACCCTAAATTAGGATCCTTATTATAGGGACCCCGAATAAGATACCCCTAATTTTCGGAAACTCCCATATTCCTCAACATTTCACAGCTTGCGCGGCAGGGCCGGCCTGGCAGCAGCGCGGGCCAGGTCGGAAGCTTTGCCCCGTCGAAAGAAGAGGCTTTTGCTTCACCAAGCTTTAGGGCTTAAGGTTTGGGCTTTTAGGGTTTAAGGTTTAGGGATTTAGGGTTTTTAGGGTGTCGGGACTTATGTAGGGCGTAAAGGTGTAGAGTTTAGAGGTTTGGAGCTTGGGAGACCCTGCTAAGCAAAGTAGGTCATCGTAGTTCAAGGCAAAAGCTTCAAACGACGCCTGTCTTAGAACCTAAAATACCACACTAGAAAGGCTTCTTGACTCGGCGAGTAGAGGTGAAGTAGGCGGCCACTACAGCACTTCGAACTCCTAGCCCCCAAACCCTACACAACTAATTCCGCTGTGTTCAGGGCCAAAGGGAAGAAGTCAAGGAAGAAGCGCAAAGGGTCCAAGTATCATTATGGTATATACTTGGACCCCCCAAATGCCCTACAAGTATACACCAGAATGATACTTGGACCCTTTAGGAAATGGCCGAGCTGCAAACGTAGGCCACCGGCTTTGGAGGCCCGTGCTTCAGCGGAGTTCGGAGTCTTCTGGGAGGTTCATTGATGAGACAAAGAAATCAGCTCTATATTCGCAATCATATCCGCAGTTAAGGAAAACTCTACTTGCAATCATATCCCCAGTTAAAGTACTTATAATTGTACTTACGAAGTCCCACGAACCTCGAAGTCGGAAAGCAGAGGAGCTGCGCCATGCATCCTGTACAATATGTGTGCGAACATGTACTTTTGCGGGAAGAGCCTCACAATCTGAAGGCTAAGCCCACCTGGAACCTACATCCCTTAACTTAGCCAAAGCGTGTACGCCAAGTCTCGCAGAGCTTCCCCTCGCCTGAGGCCGTCTCAGGCACGTCGACAGGAGGGAGCGCGTCCTCAGGCGGCAGGGTTGTTCGTTAACTGGCTTCTGCTGGGGCGTTGTGCATGAGGCTGCCAGACTAACACAGCACTGCACATGCATGTTGCTATGATGACAAAATCGTACAAGTGTATTTGGTTGCTACATTATTCCCTTGTGCTTGCAAGGCGGCTGGGGTGTTGCATAGAAGAGAAGCTTCGTTTCAGGTTGTATAGATGGCCAAAACTGGGGTGAGAGACCTGAGGCAGATATTAGTGCTATGACGCTGACCCGGCCCATGCATGGCTGAACTATACAAGCCTGAAGACTCGTCTTTATCAGTGGTTTCTTCGTCTTCCATGCTGTGGTGCAATGTATCGGAAGAGCTGACTAGGTTTGGTCATATGCTACCCAAGGTTGGCCTCTGATTTAGTCAGCCCCGCCAACCATTTCTGTGCGATCCCCGTGTGCTCCCCCAACCCAACCCTGTGCAGCTCCCAGAAACCTTGCCAACCCGAACTTGAAAGCAAGCTTCAACCTAACTCTCACCTTGGCTTGAATAGGCCACGAAAGTAGATTCCCGACGAAGCGCGGAACATACGCATATGGCATTCAACAACCGTGCTGCGATTCATAGAGTAGTACAACCGTACAGCAGCACAGCAATAATACAGTAGTATCACGGCAAGGTTCTTGTACGCAGTCCCACAGCTAAAATAGGTAGGTATCATGAGAGCTTGGGCCCTCTTAGCCCCCTTAAAGCTATCGTCCTCAGTCCAGCCTCGAAATTTGAACAAGTCGTAGAATTCGTAGAAAATGCTCTACTTGTAATGGGAATTAAGCCTCAGTCAGGCCCATGAAAGTCCGCAACCTCCTTATCATAGTTATAGCATGATATACCCCTAAACCCTATTCTAATTATTCAGGCCCCTCTACCATAGGACCCTATTATAGATCCCTTATAGCCCCCTTTAAGGAACCCTAAGGAGCCCTAAGGAGGACTATTATGATAATCAAGGCACCTATACCTTAAACCCCTTCAAAATCAAGCCTCCGGCCTCCTTGTGTTAACGTTGTCCTCTACTCGGAAGACGAGCAATAGCAAAGAGGAAGAAGCAATCACAGCGCCGGCCAGTCTTGTCGTGCATTATGTGGAGGGCCGGAAGCACCGGAAACGAATGCATATGCAGATCGAAGCTTGCTTTACTGAACCCGGTGCAACATTGGGGAAATTAGCGGCAAGATAGTGCAATCACTTGGCTGTGCGCACCAGAACAGCGAAGGGCCCGTACCCCGTGATTTTGACACCGTCAAGCCCAGTAATCCTTCTGCAGTAGGGTTCACTGTTTAGGGTTTGACTACGCTCTATGCACCGAACTATGACTTCTTGTAGGACAGCTCCCGAGTTCCGAAACCCTCTAGACTTGGAAACCTGGATGCTATTGCCAGTCGCTGCTTTTCGCTCCGCTTCTGTGGTCCTGCTGGCACGCTTCGAGAAATCCGAGTTGCCAAAAAACAAGCGCCTGAAAGACACAGTGTGTACACCAGCCGCAACAAGAATAACATTGACAACACGAGCCACCGTAGCGCTGGAACAACCGCAGTACTCACTAGGAGATAGAAGTCGTGTGCATTATATTTCTGGAGAGTGGAACGGCGGGCCTGATCCAACAGACAGATGTGAGATGCACTAAAAACTGGGGCCTGTAGTGTGTTACTTTCTGTATAGTTATGCAATAACTTGGAGTGGATCCACTGAGGAGACAAAAGATTTCAGAACTGAAGGAATGGCAGGCTGCAAGGCTTGCCGATGAGATTCAAAATTATGGTCCCATTTTTAGGTAACCTAAACAGTAGGTGCCGTACTATTTTAGGGACCCAAAAGGCACCACAATTTTGACAACCACCCATGTACTGTTCCGTCAGTACAACATCGATCCACAAACCTCCTTTCCGGTTAGCCAAATGGGAGTATCCGAAAATTGCGGGGTACCTGATTTTGGAGTCCTTATAGTAAGGACCTTGCTATTTAGGGTACTAGAGAAGGGTCCCCTTTTTTCGGAAACTCCCACATTCCGCTGGCCAGGACAACCGCAACCGCATGCGGATTAGCACTGCCAGGTGCGTGCTTGAGTCTTCAAGGGCCTGGGAGTGCTGTGTCGTAGAGGGAACGGTGTCCAATCAGGAACCAAGGGTCCGAGATTCTTCAACAATCCGTTGGCTTCCGATCGCGTGGCTCTTTTCTTGTTGCTATTGGCTATTTTTGTCGTTCCCTCTATTACTATTCTTGCCATATATGCCATGCTAGTCTCTCATGTTACACTACACTACATTGCACTACGCTACGTTGCACTACACTGCCCTAGACTGTATACGGTATTGTGCGGTACAAACTGGAGCATATATGGGAGTTTCCGAATACAGGGGATCCCAATCTAGTACCCAAAATGGTAGGATCCTTATTATAAGGACCCCAAAACAAGCTACCCCTGATTTTCGGAAACTCCCATATTATCTGGAACTTCAGAGTGCAGGGGCTGGGGGTGATTTAGGGATTTTTTTGCCTTGCAGAAATCCAAGGCGATCGCTGCGGAAGCACTGAGATCCACGGCACCCTGGTGAAGCGAACCCAAAGGCTCCATGTACCCATATAGCAGGTACTTAGGCCTGAAAGTAGCCATATAGGGACCGCTTTAAGGCCTAAGTACCTACTATATGGGCACATGGAGCCTTAGGGGAAGTTTCCAGACGCTGAGGGGTTTGGGGCCGTACGGTTTAGGATGTTGAGACATCCATGAGGCATTGCAGCCTCAGCCCCGACAAAAGCCCAAGGCGCTAACCCGGAAGTCTTGGTACCGTAACTAGGACCTAGAGTAGGCCCTTATTCCCTTTTTTTGGGGTTCAGGTTCCCTTATAAGCCCCTTTAAACCGAAAAGGGCACCCTTTTTATTCCTAGGCTACTCTTGGGTCTAGGTGACCTTTTCGGGCTGAGGCTTGGGGCGCTATGCGTGTAACGCCAAGATACACTACATTGCACCACTTAGGGCCCAGGGTTTTTGGGCCATTTGTTGCAATTAGCTTGGCAGTACAAACCAAACTGTACTGCCCACATAGGTTGTGCAGAGCAGCGGATGCGTCCCATGATTCTTAGTCTGAGACACTTGTATAACAAGTCAAGGGTTTTTATGAACCCAAGCAGTGCATGTGCAGGAGTCGGGATTCAACATGATGGTGCCGGTGCGTGCGCTGGCGGTGCTGACGGTGTGGTGACAAGGTGGTGCTGCTGGCACTGGTAGTTGTTGTTGTTGTTTTTGTTGGTGACGGCGGCAGGGGTCGGTGTGGTGGTGGAAGCAGTGATGGAGGGTTGGTGGTTGCTGTGGTTGTGCTTGTTTAAACCTGCAGCTTGCCTGACAAGCCCTGAGACGACTCTGCTGCTCCTTTAGCTTGCACGGGATGCTCCTGGCCTCCTCAAGAGAGGGCCCCCGCACAGGCGGCAGGAAAACTGGCTCGGGGGGGGCTGTGGGAGTGTGAGCTGCTTTGCGATTGCCCAGCGCGGCACAGATCGCCTGGCCCGGCGCTCGCCCAAAAGCCTTGATGCAACATCGGAATCTGGATCTGAGCTGCTAGTCCCACTCTCCTCCGCATGCCACAGTCCGAATCGCTGAAGAGCTCTTGCGCTGCCGCCAATGCCACGGGATTCCATGTCAAGGCTTTTTGCAGCCTTCGGTGTCGCAGCGGCAAAGTCTTTCGAGGCAGCCTGCGGCCTTGCACTTTCCTGAGGCGCCTGTATTCTCTGCATCCTTGTCGGCTCAGCAACTTTGCTTGAGACTCCTATGTTCCACGAAACTAATATGGGCCTAAGTTAATTACCTATTATGCTATTGTGGGGGATCCTGATTACAAGTATAGTATACTGGGCCTCAAAACCCTATTCTAATTATTTCGGCCCCTACATCACAGCCGAGGCAGACCCTGTACTGCCGAAAGTTTACCGCCTACCGAGTATGACAGCGAGCCCGACCCGACGACCTGACGCACTTTTCAGCAGTCATTCGAACCCAACTTGAACTCTGAACCTTACACCTACGCCAACACTCATTGACCCTCTGCACCCCTCGAGCCTCTATACCCCAAAACCTAAACCGAACCTCTCTAAGCTAAGCCCTATACACCTTAGGGAAGATTCTTCGAGTGCCATGGCGCTCCTACCTCAGCCCGCGGCCTTAACTTCCTCACGGCTGCCGACGAGAAGTTGGCCAGGGGACTCGATAAGTGTTCAAGCGTTGCTGAGCAAGAGGTTTCGGATTTGATCTGGGGTTATTTAGGGCTTCAGGGGTTGAGAGTACAGCATGTAGCCTAAAGCCTGAATTGCAGCAAGGGTATAATCTAGATCTAGATAGAAGCCGAGATGATTACAATTACTATCGCGTAGGGTTCATCTTTACAACTCTACTGATTCTACTATGAAGAAGCCAAAACCCTCAGTCTTCTAGCCATTCAGGTCCATACATTAGGCATAGGGATTTGGTAGTCCGACGCCACTGGAATTCGAGACCTTTTCCTCGGTCAATTCGTCACGGCTTCTTGCGGGTTGATTTCCATAACGATGGGATATAGCTGCATATATCTATGATACTTTGTGTGTATACACATTTCTATATATATATATATATATCCACATATATATATATATATATATATATTAGAAAGTTACATGTTTATTTGTTGGTATGGTGTGATGGCAGTTTTGTTGACGCCCCTGCCGCAACTCCTACAAGGCACAATGGCTGCCGCTCCTCGGGAGCCCGCCGTGTGGAGGGTGGCAACTGGGCTCTTGCTCAGGAGTCGAACTTAAGGTACCGCAATAGGGATCTACAACGCATAATACGGTGTCCTTGTTATGTCAACTTAAGTTGCATCAAGGAAGTTAATTCAAGTTACAAGAAATGGGATCTATAGCAAATGATAGGGTTTCCTGATTATGGCAGCTTACATTCATAACTCCCTTACAAGAGCCCAGGAAAGGCGGCTTCAGCAGCGATTGCCTGGGCCCTGTGGAAACATGGGCTCGTCGTGCACACTTGACGAGCTCCCAATAAGACGGCCGGGTCAAAGTATACTATAGGGGCCTGAATAATAATTACCTTTACTATTTTTTTTTTGGGGGGGGGCGTCCTTTTCACAATTATAATAGAATATCACCCCCCCCCCCCCCCCCCCCCAAAGCGATAGTCTCCTTTTTCCGACCTCGACGGAGACCCTTCAGCCCCCAGATCCTTCAACCCTTGACCTCAAAACCTAACTAAACCCTGGGCCCAGAGACTCCAAAACCCCTTAAGTATGGAATTTACCTTAAGTCTTATTTGGGATCCCATTTATAATTTAAGGTATATTCCTGAATTAAGGGGTTTTCGAGTCTCTGAGAGCCCTGGGCAGTACGGCTTAGGCTGTATAGGGTGTACAGGGTTCAAGCCAGCGTTAGGGTTCCCTAAACCTTATAAACCCTACTCATGGGGTTTGGGGTTCGGGGTTTATGCAGGCAGTCTTGGGACAATCCAAAAATAGAGTCACTTGTGGATCAACAACATAAGGCATGACGGCTCAAAGGATCTAAAGAGATCAGGGTTTAGGAAAGAACCCCAGGTGGCCGGCGCCGCCGTTCCGCTCAGCAGGCAGTGGCCCAGCCCTTGGCTTCCGCCTGCATATAAGGCCTAAGCCCTATAATGTGTAGGCCTTGATGAGTAGGAATAGGTTTTTTTGATTTATTTATTTATATCGATATATATATATATATATATATATACATGTAATATCTCTGTTTGCAATATACTTATAAGGAGCCCCGAAACAGTATTGGTAATTATCTAGGCCCCCATATTCAGCCCTGAGTCCTCTAGGCTTTGGGTGTTTCGCTTGAGGGGTCCTTCAAATCAAGATCCTACTTCTAGCTTAAATAGTAAGGGGTTTCATATTATTATTTAAGCTATATTCCTTAGTTAAGGGGTATTGGGCCCTCTGGGCATGTATGGGATTCAGTCCCTTCAGCGTTCTCTGCCCGGGACCACGGAGCCCCAGGGCTTAAGAGAGTAACAGTCGCAATGGTAGTAGTTGAATTAGAAAAATGAAAACTGATGTTCGCAACTTGTTATCATCATGTTTGTTATGGTTATTATGATTGGTATGGTCATATATGGTCATGATTACTGCTGTTATCTCTTACTACTGCGGTTTTGCAGGGAAGATAGGGACACCTGGATCTGTGTCGCATGTCGGTCTCTAGCCCAGAAGCGCTGAGGGAGAGTGCAGCCGTTGCAAAGAAGCCTTTTAAATCCGCCACGCTCATGCGATATGGGAGTTCCCAACAATAAGGGGTACCTCATTTTGGGGTCCTGTTAATAAGGATCCTACTAGTTAGGGTACTTTATTAGGGTCCCCTCTTTTCGGAAACTCCCATATGTTGCTGGTCGTGCGATCGCAGCTCGTGCAGTCACCGAGGTGGAATGAATCAGATCCCAGGGTAAGGGAGCTAATGTAGGAACCTGATTAAGAAACCCTGGGCCTATGACCCCAAATAGTAGGATTCATATAAGGAACTCAATGAAGGCACAAGGTTTCTCAATCAGGTTCCTACATTACCACGCCAATGAAGGCACGAGGTTTCTCAATCAGGTTCCTACATTACCACGCCGATGAAGGCACAAGGTTCCTCAATCAGGTTCCTACATTACCACGTTCAGACTGCTCTGTGCTTGAACGATTAGGCGATCGGTTCCGCTTGTGCAGTGTCCTCGCCCTACCCTGTCAACTTTGCACCGCAAATCTTAAAACCCTGTATATGGAGGTCTCTGCCCCCAAACCGAAATCATAAAGTTACACCATGTTCATTCATAAACCCAAACTTGCGATGCAACAAAGCAAAGTCAACACCTCTCCAGAGGGCTGCACCTCATGATGCATGATGCCTCAGGCGAGCTCCCAGAAGCCGCCGAGGGAAGGCGGGTTTGAGCTTTTTGCTTTGCACTTTTTGGAGATGATTGGGACAGCGGCATCCCAAACTGGGGGATTCAGAGTAGGATGGCTATACTAGATAGGATTTACATCAGGGTCCCCTGTCTGAAAAATGTCGCATTTACAAGCTCAGAAGGTTCAGGATTTAAAGTTAGTTTAAAGTTCATTATACGTATCACTCTAAATCCTAGACAATATTAAAGCAAAATCTGGCATTCGCCAGTGATCCCAAGATTTAAACCCGCCTCCACCCTACCCTAAACCCCAAACCCTATGGCAGGCTCGTTTTGCCTCCTCGGAGGTGAAGGGTGCTCCACTCCAAGGCGAGTGCTTCTTGAAGCTGTGATTTCGGGCTTCGGGTTTGGGGTTTAGGCCGTCTTGTGTGGAGCACGGGTGTGGCCGGCCGGCTTTCCAGCTGAACCGGACGAGATCCTGGGTTCAGAAAAGGGGTATTTTACTGTTTCGGGATATTCGTCCTCGTCAACAGAAGCTGTAAGAAGTTATCACATTGGGATATCGTTTCGCCGGTGCATGATTGTGCTTGAGAGTATGTTAGCGTGGTGGTGGGGGTTTGAACTAGATTTTGCTCAGCTCTTCCGTAGGGTGCTGCACTACCAGTTGTTACAGATCTTTAGGCGGAACTTCCACGTAGCTTCAAGATCTTGGGAGTTCTACCTCCCATATATATATATATATATATGTATATTGTATTTTTTGTGCAGCCCCTCTCCCTGAACCCTAAATTGCAAACGCGCTGCCCTGCGCGACGACCTGGATACGGGACGAGATATTGTATACCTGCCCTGAAGCGCTGCTCTAATCCCTAACCAAAAAGGCACGCGGCAACTTCCCTGCACCCACAGGAGGCCTTCCGCCCTATTGTGGACGTTTGCAGACGTCCAAGCTGGATGTGCTGATCATCGGCACCTCGGTTTAAGGTTTAGGGTTCAGGACAATTCTTATTTCAGGGTATTTTGCATTCGATGGAATATTCTCGCATGCCAGCCTGCTACATGCATTCCGCTCGGGGTCATTGCCTTGCCGTGATTGCCACGGTGCCCATGCTCTTTTCGCAACTGTGGTCGTAGCAGCAAGCCATGTCTGGATCTATGCTTATCCGCACGTATTTATACACACATGTACAATTATGTGTCTGCTTATTTGTGTGTAAATACTTGTATAATGGACGTATTTATTTGCTGCATCTGTTGGAACACAAATAGCTATAACTTCCTCGGTGTTGTCCCAATACTCCTTCAGTAATCACCTTTTTCATCGATCGATATTCCTCAACTCGAGCTTCAAGATCACGGTATAGAATCTGTATACAGACGAGCTACTTCTTGCGGGTGCAGTCGTTCGGCTTAGGCATGTTTAGGGTGGGTTAGGGCTTGGGGGAAGAAGGGCTTTGGGGCTTTAGGGTCTGAGGGTTGTTGGGCTTTGACGTTTAGGTCTCGACTCTTGACCCTGGGCATCTAAGGACTCATATATCAAGGCTTTTGGGCCCAAAGACCGTCGTATGTAAGGCTTTTGGGCTATGTTGATGCCCAGGGTGAGTTAATTGATATCCAGGTGTTGCACACCGTGACGATGGCACATCTGGAGAGGCAGCCAGACGAATGCCCGGCGGCCCGGATTGGTAACTGGCTCCCTCCTGAGTCACCTCTGGTTTTGCATTGCGATACGGATAAATGTAGAAGCAGCAGGCCAGGTGTCATGTCAGATGTATCGATCATGTTAGAGTCTCGTTATCGCACATTAGATCTTGCAGTGCGATGTGATGGTATGGCCTAGGAAAGCCGATGCGTTTCAACAAGCCGCACTTGGCTTCACATACCGGGAAAAGGAAAGATACCACTCCATTCCATTGAAAGCCGATGCTTCGTCGCTTGAGCGACTGCGGCTTTGTTCTTATTCGGAGTACCTTCGTTTCGGACCCTGATCTTGAGACTCCTTTCTATATCAGGCTTCATATTAGGTTGGGGAGCTCAGGGCCAGGGGTGGCCCAATGCAAGCCGCCCGACAACTGGCCCTCCGTATGCGTTCTGCAGTGAAACGACGATCCCCAAAACTGTCATGGTATTGTTGGATTTGGCCGTCGCGAAACTAGAACCCTTCGATCGCCACCTAAACCCCAAACCCCGAACCCTACTTCCTAAACCCTACCTGAACCCTAAACCCTGAACCCTAAACCCTGAACCCTAGACCCTACCGGTTACCTGTATAGAGGCCCCAAGTCCCCGAGGATCCAAAGCTTCGAGCCTGAGATCTGTCTCGTGGAGCTGGACCAGCAGGCCTTTTTTGGTTGTAGGGCTCTACAAGGGCTTCTTAAAGGCTTCTATAAGGATTTGCAACAGGGTTCTTAGGAGGGTTCTCAAAATGTTTTGTAGAATGGTTAAGGTTAGTATGTGGTTGTTACAAGGTACAAGCGTTCTTACATGGGCTCTAGGCTTCTATGAGGCGAAAAGGGCTTCATGAGGTTCCACAAGGGCTTTGCTAGATGATTGTGAAGTTACTGTAAGCTTCTACGAGGTTGTACTTTCTAAGGGTGTTGTAGGGCTTTACAAATTCTAAGTTCATTGACAAGGGTTCTGTGCAGGTTTTATACGGTCACCACCAGGTTATGAAGAGGGTTGTATACGGATTTATATGGGCCCAGCGCCCGCTTATGAAGGGGCTTAACAGGGCCTCAAGCGGGTTCCTTGTAGGGTTACAGTGTTCTACTACAAGGGTTTTACGAGGGGCTTCAGAAGGGTTCTGCTGACCCTAAACCCTAAACCCAGTTCTGCAAGGTATTTTCATGTGTAAGGGTTTTGAGGGCTTTAGGTTTTGAGGGTTAGCCTTTAAGTTTCCAGGATTCTGCAGGACTCCGAGTCTCTGAATGGTACGTTTGCGCCTATACTCGGATCTCGGATGCACACAGACCTGAAAAATCTAAACCCCCAACCTTAAACCAGTTAAACCTAAACTTTGAACCCTAAGTTAGAAGCCCTACTTACCCAAAGGGTCCAAGTATCATTCTGGTGTATACTTACAGCGTATTTTTGGGGGTCTAAGTATGTACCATAATGATACTTGGACCCTTCGCGTTAACCGACTTTAGGATGTACCTGTAGCCGAAAAGACCTACCGTTTCAAGGAACTGTATATAGAAACCATAATAAGGAACCCCAAAAAGGTAGGTTTAGGGTTTAGGGTTTAGGGCTTTTCGGCTACAGGTACAGCATGGGAGTTTGGACTCGGGTTTCGTGGTTTCGGGCTGCAGGGCTCGATCGCCCCGAAGCTTGGCCTGCGCAAACAGATGTATGCATGCGTGTGTTCGTTACATGCCTACCTACCTACATACATACATACATATATATATATATATATATAGATATATATATTCATATATATATATATTTATTTATTTATTTATTTATTTATTTATTTATTTTTACACACACACACATATATATATATATATATATGCATGCGCATACATACTAGCACTCATTTGCCCTGCATAATATCCACAACATCAGAAGCCCTAATTGAGGAAGGTTATAAATTTCATGAGAGACACTTTTTTATGCCAAGATTATTCGCCTCTGCGGCAAGCAGCTTAAAACCACGAACCCCCAAACTTTCATCCCCAATCCCGCACACTCAGATACCCGAAGTGCCAGAAGAACTCCTCCAACAGTAGGTAGGGTCACGTGCCGTCGAAAGACCTGGTAAGCCCACAACTTTCCGAAACTCCTGTAGGAAGCCCTAAGCCCTAAGCCTTGAATCCCAAACCCAAAGCCCTAAACCCCAAACCCTATGCCCTAAACCTTGAATTCGAAACCCACAGCCCTGAACCCCAAGCCCTGCCCCCAAACCCAGTCCTAAACCCTGAGCCCTAAATCCCAAAGCCCTGAACCCCAAACTACCCCAAACAGTCCCCTAAACCCTGAACCCTAAATCCCAAGCCCTGAACCCCAAACTACCCCAAACAGTCCCCTAAACCCTGAGCCCTAAATCCCAAAGTCCTGAACCCCAAACTACCCCCCAAAAATTCCCCTAAACCCTGAACCCTAAATCCCAAAGCCCTAAACCCCAAAAAGTTTCCCAAAAAGTCCCCAAAACCCTGAACCCTAAATCCCAAACTGCCCCCAAAAAGTCCCCCCCGGTCTCCGCCAGCGCTTCTCCCGGCTCCTGGCCTTTCGGCAAGGCCTGCTGGCGCCTTAGTGGGCTGAGGGATTTCAGGGGTTTCAGGGTTTTGGGCCTTTAGGGTTTTAGGATTTTTGGGTTTTGGGGTTTAAGGTTTAGGAGTTTCAGGGTTTAGGGCCTTTAGGGTTTTGGTTTTAGGGCTTAGGGTTTAGGGTTTTGGTTTTAGGATTTTTGGGTTTAGGGTTTGGGTTTTAGGGCTTAGGGTTTAGGGTTTGGGTTTTATAGGGCTTAGGGTTTAGGGTTTGGGTTTTATAGTGCTTAGGGTTTTGGGTTTAGCGGTCAGGATTTGGGGTTTAGGATTTTAGGGTTTTGGGGTTTAAGGTTTAGGGGTTTCAGGGATTAGGGTTTCAGGGTTTAGGGTTTTGGTTCCAGAGCGTTTAAGGTTTAGGCGTTTCAGGGTTTAGGGGTTTCAGGGTTTAGGGTTTGGGTTGGGTTAGGCTTTTACCTGCAGTGTCCAGGGTTCGGCTTGCCAGAACTCTGCCTGGAGCATCTGCTCAGACTGCTCGCAGATTGTTGTTTTTGTTGAGGGAAAGTTTTGTTAGGACTTGATATATTAGGACCTTAATCGTAGCCCTATTATAGACTATTACTGTATGAGGAGTTGTTCTTGCTGTCAGAAGCGGCTATTCCCAAAGGGTCCAAGTATCATTATGGTATATACTCAGACCCCCAAAACTAGGACCTAGAGTAGGCCCTCATTCCCTTTTTTTAGGATCCAGGTTCCCTTATAAGCCCCTTTAAACCGAAAAGGGCACCCTTTTTATTCCTAGGCTACTCTTGGGTCTAGAAAATACCCTACAAGTATACACCAGAATGATACTTGGACCCTTTGGGATTGCTGCGAATGAAAATTTCGTCTGGAGCCTTTTCGGGTGCTTCGAGCACGGATGGAAGGGGAGGGGACTTAGTAAGGGCTCTTAAAGGGCTCCTTAAAGGGATCTATAGGGTTCCTTAAAGGGGATCTATGGGGTTTAGGGTTTAGGGACTTAGTAAGTAGGTTATAAGTAGGGTTATAATTGGGGTAACTCCGTTTAGGGTACTTATAACTCTACTTATAACCTAATTACTAAGTCCCCTGCCCTTCCAAGCACTCCCCTGTCTCGTGGCTGCGCGGTTCGGTCCTGCTCACTGGTAGGATGCTTGCGCGAGGGTGGTTCGCGTTTGGGGTTTAGGGTTGCAGTAATCTTTTTCGGCCTCGAAGTCAAGAGTCCTTGCAATGAAGGCCTTGGACTTTGGATTTATGTCCCTAAACCCTGAAGTCCTAAGCCCTACCGCCTTTTTCCTAAACCCACGAAACCCCTAAACCTCAAAGCATCAAACTTTCATTCCCTTACACCCTTGGGGATCCCAAAACCTATCGTTTTAAGGGTTCGACGCTCTAATCGAGGGGTTATAACCTCCTATTTTGTAGAGTTTGGGGATACACGTGAACCTCTAAACCACTCCGAGGCCCTGGCCTTACGCACCGCTGCGGGGGGCGAATTATCAGAGCCCACCCCAGGTGGCTTTGGAAGTGACGGTCTCTTCTGGGGTATGGGTGCCGCCTAGGTTACCAGGTTTAGGAGTCTAGGGTATAGGGGTTTTAGGGTTTATTGTTTTGGGTTCTACGGATTATCGCTTAGTATCTGAGTAGCTGAGTAGGTGATCTTTAACCTGTTGTGGTTCAGATAATCTTACCATAACTGAAAAGGTTGACCTTTTTTGGGCTAGGGTACTCAGCCCCGAAGGTATCATAGTATAGTTCAGTAGAAGACAGTCTAGTTGTATATACGATACAGTAGAGTAATATAGCACCGTAAGTAGTATATGTATAGTTTAAACTTCCGAAAAGCATAGTGCCATAATGCTCCCTGAGTATATGTAGCTCACATTTCTTGTGTTCGAGATGCTTTTTCTGTTCAGGGCTGTAGTGCCATCTCCACTAAACGCTGAAGATCGTGCTGGATGTCCAAAACCCAAAGGGTCCTATGTACCGACAGAGTAGAATGTAGGGTTTCCATATTAGGAATTACTATTATGGCTTAGGGAAGTATTCCCCATAACAGTACATAGGACCCTTTGGGAAAACCCTCAACATGCAAGCTCAACGCCAATCTTAGCACCCGCAACATCCAAACTCGGCTAGACTGGCCAGGGCGCAGTGCAGATCATTTGATGACAGTTTGTGCTGTCCTTGAATGCTGACGGTGATAGCGATGCTTGGTGTGGTAGCTGTAGTGGTCATGACGATGATAACGATAACGATGACGACGCCGATCATGATTGGTGCTGCTGGCCTTTGCCAGTATAGCGGTGGCATAAAACGCACGATGCAACAGTCATGGCGATGCTCGTGACTAACGGCGACGATCGTAATGACGGTGGAATATTGCTACTCTGGTCCAATGAGGCCTAGCCCACAAGTGCAAGCGATGCGCGAGGCCGGCACTGGTAGACTGAATTCGGGATATGAACATTGTCAGCACTAGTACTCTGATTATTGATTGCACTCGATTTCTTTTAGGTATCATAATGAATTACTGCTAGTATAGAATTACCTGTATTCCCGACCCTGCCCGGGTGTGCAAGTTACTAAATTGAGGGCTCACCTTAGGTCCTATCGAAGAGAGAGGGTTTAGGTTTAGGGCTTGTTGTGCAAGTCTGAACGGTGGGGGGGAGGGTCCCACTTTTCGAACCACCTTCTCTGGGGATGCAATTGCGCCTGAGCCGAGGATTTGCTTTTTTTCTTTTGCGGAGTGTGGGGGCAGAGTCTTTCTAAACTGAAGCAGTCCAAGAGGAAGTCGAAGACAAAACCTGTCAGGAAGGTTGCCAGCTGAAGCCAATACTCAATACCATTCTGTGGCTCCTTGCCATCATTTCTATGCGTTGATGTATCCCCTAGACCCTAAATCCTAAACCCTGAGCAGTATCACACTTCTGCAGCAGGTGTTGTTCTCCGGGCTGGAGCTTGCCCAGAGTATCGTCGGCAACAAGGACCAGCCTTGGCTGTTTGGTGTCCGGCTCAGATTTGGCCTAAATGGGTTCATAAGGGATCCCAAGGGATTGTTTAAGAATCGATTAGGTTTTAGGTTGGGGTTGATTTGCAGCTTGATGATTTTGTCCATCGCCGCCATCGTACATAGCAGTGATAGTGCTATGTGCAAATGGTCAAGATATTCGGTACAATCATTGCGTAGCACAGTGCTATCATACCAACAATATTGGTTTTAATATCACGAATAATGACACTATCAAAAACTAGCGGCAATAGTACTCTCCATAGCCCGCAGTTACCGACATGGATTGGATGCTTGATGGGTGGTACCCCCGGTCCTCCATTCCCGAAAGGGTCCATGTGCCATCTAGTAAATATCTTTATTACCTAAATACACCCCTGGAAGCATTTGTTGATGAGTTTTGGGTGGCTTGTTCAGCTGTGGCACAAGAAGCAATCGTGGGCTACAAGGTCACACAAGCCACTCGTTACCAATATCTCAAAAGCAAGAAGGCAACGGAAACTGGCACGATCACGAGGACAAGGTAGCAACAAATCTTCACAAGCGCATGTTTACAAGAAAGCTGCAAGACAAGCCTGCTCAACCTTAAACCCTAAACCCAAACATAAATCGTAACCATAACCTTAAACCCAAAACAACTAACTAATTGTAACCCGAAACCACCGGAGGACAAGGGTGGTGGCGACGAGTTTTACGAGGCAAGGTGCGTTCGAAGTATTTTGGATTCCCCATGATATCCATGTGGCTGAGGAAACTCCAAGTTATGATAATCATCGCATAGTGTACTCCACAACCCTGCCTGACCTATCAAGGCCCCCTATATTGTGACTGGCCATTGCTGACATTGCTGGTTGCCTCCCTGTACCATGCTTATTAGTGCTGGTTCTAGTGCCAGTTCTCTAGCGTCGTCGTCGCATTGTTTGGCAATGGCTTCCATCCTGGGAAGAGGCCTACCTTGCAGCAGCCAAAAACGGAGCCCTGGTCCGGGGTCCCGGGAGCTTTGCTGCTTCTTCATCTTCTTGTTTCTAGTTTGCAAAAGGATCAGTACTGTAACAGTGTTCCAATGCTACTGAACTGTTTCACATTGTGTAGTGTAGCTCCGATGATAGATGCGAATCTGCTAGTCAACCGGGGTGAATACCCGCCTGATCATGTAAGAGCCGTGGCGACGTGTATTCTGGACTACTAAGATTCTATTGCGAGGTTTTGTGGGCCTTCCTTTATGCTTTGACGTCTGTCTCCTAAACGCTGAGCCCTAAAACGTAAGCCCTGCTGTGCGCAAAGTCGTTTCTCAGTCTTCCTACGGCGCCTTAGATTCGAGAGAAGGTGGCGCGGAGTTCAATACAATCAGGATTCAAGGTGATCGGGTGGTAGGCTTGTTTCAAGGTCGTCTCATGTTCTCAGGGTTTTCGGGCTTGAGACTTATACATGTTCCGGTGGAGTTCAGGAGTGCGCGTTGTGTTTGGGGTTTACCAGTTGTGGGTGCTGCTGATCCTGTACGCTTCCTGAACCAGGAGCAGCACACCGTAAACCCCGAACCTTGAGCACCCCATACTCCAGGCCAGGTTTTGTGTCTCATGTACTTTGCTTCAGTTCAAGGTCAGGTTTTTCGACCCCAGAAAGCGACCATTTTCGGATTATGGTCAGGTGTTCCTGACGATACGGGCGCTTTGAGGGTTTGCTTTTGGCTTTGGGGCTTCGCCGGGGTGTTCCTGGGGATTGCGGGTTTTAGGGTCTCAGGCAAAATCTTGAAGCTGGCCCCTATGTTGCTCCTACAGCCTACATGTCTTAGGCACGCGTGAGCCTTAGAGCTCTATGAGGCCGACGCCCCACTTAGCGGCTGAGGGCAGGACCGAAGCAAGTGGGTGTGTAAAGGACGGGATACAAAGGCCAGGAAGTGAGGTTGCAGAGTGCTTGGAGGTTTGGAGTTTGGTTTCAAGATGCCCTCAACAGCTCGAGGTCGTTCCGGGCGATGTTCAAATCTCCAGCGCCCTGGACAGCCTTGCTCTCAGCCTCCCTGTGTTTGAGATTTCGGCTTTGTGCCGCTTTGTGCTCAGGACGTGGGCATAGCGACCAGAGCAGAACGACAAATCCGTAATTGAAGGAACTTGACTCCCAATTTCAAACCCAATAACATGAACGATGGAAGTGGTACTTAGTCGCTACATGTAGTATCAAAAGTACCGTACAACCGAAGAGCCTAATTCTTATCACCCCGTCTTTCCTGAGTCCTGAACCCTAACACCCTGATCCCTGCCTTAACCCCAACAGCCTACCCACTTCAAAGCTATTCCAAGGAAGTCGGATTGAGGAACCCTGAAATTGCGGGTTTGTCAGGGTCCCGGTAGCTCAGAAACTTCATGTCGGAGGGATGGGCGAGGGTAGTAACGCTAAGACTCCGTGTGCCTACATTGAGAACTAGGATAAGAAGGCAAGTAATCAGGATGGGAGGAGCTTCCAAGGCAGCAAGTTTGCCTGCCAGAATGGCCCCCTAAACCCCAAACCAACTAAAGCAATAAATTCTACAAGTTAAGCCTTAAAGCCTAGACCCCCCACGGCCGAAACAACAACGTAAAACCTTAAACCCTGAACACCCCAGGCCGTTGTCCCGAAACGTTAAACCTTCAACACTCAAGCTTACACCCTACCCCAAAGGGTCCAAGTATCATTATGGTACATGTTTAGGGTATTTTGGGGGTCTAAGTATATACCATAATGATACTTGGACACTTTGGGTACACCCCACGATCCTGAACCTTGCAGACCCTACACCTTTAGGTCCAGGCGTCGAAATAGCTACCCTAAGGCTCTAAGGACTGATAGTCTAAGGCTTCGGGGCCTCAAGACCATATTATATAAGGCTTTTAGGCCATCTTGAGCTTTAGGGTCAGGAATAACATACAAGCAAACAGCCTGAACCCAAGACCCTAGTCTTATGATTAAGGCCGCTTGCATGAACACCTACACCTTCATACCCTTGTGGAACCCTGGAAGGTACGCTCAACTGATTCCGGTTGGATTCATTGTCACATGCAGTATCCCGAAAAAGCCCCTAAGTGCCTTGTGGAACCTCCAAATCTCCAAAAACTGACAATAGAACTCCTTCAGTTAAACAATCCATGAATCCTTAAAGGCTACGACATAACAACGACTGCTATTAAGCACCCTAAACCCTAAACCCTAAACCCTAAACCTAAACCCCTAAACCCTAAAACCTAAACCCCTAAACCCTAAACCCTAAAACCTAAACCCCTAAACCCTAAACCCTGAAATCTTCGACTTCGTAAGACCCTAAGATTCCATGCGCGAAGGCCTCCTGGGGGCCATCCGCCGCGGCTTCGCCGAGCCTTTAGGGCAGATGGCTCCTTGTCCGGGTTATAGGGTTTAGGGTTTAGGGGTTTAGGGTTTAGGGGTTTAGGGTTTAGGGTTTAGGGGTTTAGGGTTTAGGGGTTTAGGGTTTAGGGTTTTAGGGGAGTTTCGGAGAAGTACATTATTTGGGGCCCTATAATAAGGATCCTACCACGCGGAGTACCACATTAGGGTCCCCTATTTTCGGCAACTCCCACATCTATGTTGGTGTATTCCACTATAGTAGAAGTCCGAAAAGTTGTGAAACAGACACACACCGGTTTAGGGTTTAGGGTTTAGGGTTTCACGGGCCCTGGGGCTTCTAGCCCTCCGAGATCGTAGCTTGGGCTTTTGAGGAGCTTTGAGGGTGTAGGTGTTGCAAAAAGCTGTTCAATACCTACTTGGAGGATCATGGGACTTAGCAACTAGGGTTATAAATAAGGTAACTATACTTATAATTCCAAATAGGGTACTTATCACCTTACTTACTAAGTCCCACGATCCTCCAAGTAAGCACTGCAGAGTCCGTAGGGAGTTCCAAGTTTTCGGTGCCGTCAATGATGATGATCGTCATGCTGAGTGTGAGGACGATACTCTCGGTGACGATTGAAGGCTCATGGGACTTAGATAAGTAGGTTATAATTAGGATAACCCCATTTCGGGGACTTATAACCCCAATTATAGCCTAGGTGCCGATGATGATGACATCGAAGCCTGACCAGAGAGACCTTTGCCCAGGCTGCAGGAGGAAGTGCACTCGGTCGAGCCTTCGGCGGCATCGTCGCTGGGAGCCCAGTCGCGGACGGCGGCAAGATTAGGGTTTCAGAGCCAAGGGCCCATTATGTAAGGGCCTTATTAAGTATAGTTATAATAAGGAGCCCCCAAAACCCTATTCTAGTTATGAAGGCCCCTACATACGATGCGTAGGGCATCCGGCGTTAAGATGAGCCTAGAGCTCCCATACCCGCAGGGTGTGTGGTTTAGGGGAGACTTCTGAAGGACCCGCTTGCCAAGCCCCCAAGTTGCGAAGCGCAAGGACAGAAGGCAGGAATCTCAACATCCTGATTCCGAAATCCTGATAGCTTCTTTTGTGCATCGGAGATTTGGGGGCAGGGGTTCATGTCGCCATTTTGGCATAAAGGAATTCCTGGGGGACCACATCTTGCGGGGCGTCTTGGGGCCCTAAAACACTAAGATCCTTACACCCTCAAGCCCTGAGCCCTAAAAGACCCTGACAAAAAGCTCACCTCTTACTAAACCCTAAACGGTCTCCCATCGCCTTAGGGCCGGCCGGAGTGGCGCGATCCGGCGGCGGAAGCTGTAGGCGTAGGCAGGGCCAGGGTTTGGGATGAGGGTTGGTGCTACTTCGATTTTTGGGATGAGGGTTTGGGGTTTGGGCCTTTTTAGGGTTTAGGGTATTACTTCGGTTTTGGGGAGAGGGTTTAGGGGTTTGGGTTTTTAGGGTTTAGGCTGCCGCGTCGGTTTAGGGGATAGGGTTCGGATTCCAGGGGTTGTGGATGGTTAGCACCCATTTGATGCCCTTAGATGGCGGTGTCCCGTAACTGCAACCCAAATTCCCAACTCCACACCCTTTTGGGCACGTAGCACGCAATCTGTGAGAGACTTCATGCTTGCTAACCGACATGTCTCCAATTAGAGTTCTGGCGCCCGTGAGGCATCATCCAGCGAGACCGTGTAGTCTAGAAAGAATCCGCATCCGTAGGGTCCATGTTCCTAAATAGTGTGTATATGTATATATATATATATATATATATATATATATCGGCCTTAAAGTAGTCCCTATATAGATACATTGGGCCCAAAGTATATACTATTTGGGTACGTGGACATTTAGGGAATCAAAGCCCTGTTTAACAAAACCGTTCCTGCTGCCTTCAGCTGTGCCCGTGGCCCTGGTGGCCGACGGTGGCGGGCGCGCTTTGCCCCTGGCACGGGCGACGGCCGTAGGCCGCCTGCGGAAAGTAATGAAGGCATGGTTTAGGCAGTGTAGGGTTTCGGTGGTGGCTCAGTTTAGTATACGGCTTTACAGTGATTTCTGGTTTAGGAACTTCAGGTGTGGTGAATCTTAGCGTCTCAAGGGGTTTTAGGTCGAGAGAGGAATATACCGAATATTGCGGGCCACCGCTACAGGTGGGATTAGCATTGAGGGTTTTTGTTAAGGCACAAGGGGCATAAGGGTGAGGCACATCAAAACTTCAAAGTTCAAGTTTCCTGCCTTCAGCTTCATGTAAGCTTGCCTAGGTCCACATTCAATCCTGGCCATGAAGGGGCGTATGCTCTTCTGAACTTGATATGGCATACCCTTTAAACCCTGAACCCTAAACCCTAAACCCCTAAACCCTGAACCCTAAACCCTAAACCCCTAAACCCTGAACCCTAAACCCCTAAACCCTGAAACATTTCCGTCTGGACCCGAAGAAACACCCAACTTGGAACGACCTGCAGGCGTCATCGTAGCCAATGTCGTGTCCTTGGTCATGGGAGGCCGGAGGCTGATGTCAACGGTTTTCGGTTTTAGGGGTTTAAAGTTCAGGGCTTTTTAGGGGTTTAGGGTTTCGGGCTTTTTAGGGGTTTAGGGGTTTAAGGTTCAGGGCTTTTTAGGGGTTTAGGGTTTAGGGCTTTTTAGGGGTTTAGGGGTGTAAGGTTCAGGGCTTGTTAGTGGTTTGGGGTTTAGGGGTGTTTAGGGTTTAGGACCTTTAGGGCTTAGGGCTTTTAGGGGTTTAAGGCTTTGGGGCCTTTTGTGGTTTAGGGCCTTTGGGGTGTCCGATTCGTAGGGCGGGTTCAACACCTTGGACCACAAGCCCATTCACTGCCATTAGACGTTGAAATGTTTCCATGACTGAGTCTGCAACTACAAGCCTCAGAATGCATACCCAAAACTCACACCCGAGATGATCCAAATACAGTTCTACGTAATCATAACACCCTCACAAACATCACATCTTACATGTCGTGGTGCTGATACAGGTCTCCATGTGCTCACTGCTTCTGCCTTTGCGATTGAAGCATGTATGGGGGCTGGTGCTCCTTGCGAGTTCTGGCATGCTGGTAGCTAGGGTTGGTGGCAGTAGTGGTATTGGTTTGGGTGGTAGTAGTGATAATGGTAGCCGCCGTCATCGTAGTGGTGGTAGTAGTAGAAATATCAATAGTCATGTTAGACGTCGCCGTCGTCGTCGTCGAATTTGTATTCGGATGGGTGCTTGAATTCTTGTCATGATCACAGTAATGCTGTTATTTTTGCTATCACTATTACTATTATCAATATAGTTATTGTCGTTGTTGCTATTATTGTTATTATGACCATTACTGTAGTGTTGATGCTGTCATCAAGTAATATTGTTAGTATTATCAATATCACTAGTTGTGCTCTTTGTTTAGTGCTATTCATGTTCCGTTTTCTACTGCTACGGCTACTGCTACTGCTACTGCTACTGCTACTGCTACTGCTACTGCTACTGCTGCTGCTACTGCTGCTGCTGCTGCTGCTCCTGCTACTGCTACTACTACTACTACTACTACTACTGCTACTACTGCTACTACTGCTACTACTACTACTACTACTACCAGCAGCAGCAGTAGCAGCAACGGCAATAGCGTACGTGCTAGTATAGCCTTCATTCATCATTGTTGCTCGGTCATTTCTATCGACAGTGTTGCTGCTCTCTCTATGGACATCATCGTGGTGCTGGTGGTGGTTATTGTAGGCTTTACGTACTGGCTAGCCATGCAGGTAATGGCATGAAAGAGAACATCGAAGGCTGGGCACTGGGAGCTGAGCTTCCGCCAAAGTCCGAGCATGGAGTATGACATGAGCCGTGGGGTTTAGGGTTTCGTCAGTGTTTCCCTAAACCCTAAACCGTTAACAAAAACACACTAAGCCTAAACCGTGTCCAAAAACAGCAAAGCCGGAATTTTCAGTGTGAGCCTCGCCGAAAGCGACTCTTGGCTCCGGGGCGGGCCTGGGGCAGAAGCCTCAGCCGAGCTTGCGACAAGAAACAGGTCCGGGTATGTATATATATATATATATACACACACACATGAAACTATATATATATATATATATATGTGTATGTATATGTATATACACATACATACATATATATATATATGGTATGTTAAGGACCTGCATCAAACGGACACCCAGCCTCTATCAAATCCTATAACAATTCTGCGAAGTGGCATCAGACATGAACCTCTAAACACCCCGGATATTCAGGTTTGCAGCGGATGGACCTGCAAGGCCTCACAGATGTGGCCAGCCGTCTCAGCATTCTTCGGTGAAAGTTCCCACGCGTTTAAGCAGACCGGTATGTCAGGTCCAAGGGTTTTTGTTGTCTAAAGTTTGATGTTTGGTGGAGCTTTGGGGGCTCGAAGGTTCAAATTAGAGGTAGTAAGCCTACAAGGAGTCGCCGGCATTTGCAAGGCTCAGGTGCTCTTTCTGTGCTTGCATGGACCGTTCTGCATTGGGCATGCCTGATCAGCCTGATCGAAGAATCTACAGTTCAAGGTTTCAGCTACTAGGTCTTGAAAGCCTTAACTTAACGCCGCGAAATCCTAAACCGTGGAACCCCGATATGATGGACCCTATGCAACCTGATTGAAATGAGGACCCATTTCCAGGTGGTGCAAACAAATCCGAAATCTCGGAGTCTTTTATGAGTCCCTATAGGGCCTGATACCAACCCTTACAGTAGCCTTTGCAGTAAGCCCGAAAAGAGCTACCCAGAGAGCCCAATATCCCTTAATTAAGGAAGATAGCTTAAATCATGATATGAAACAGGGTTGAGCTGTAAGGTTTTTTAGGGGAAGTGGTGAAACCGTTTTCGTGTGAGCTGATTAACTGCATTTGCTAAAACAGCTTGCCTCCACCTGCCGGTCGTTTATCTTTTTTGCTAAAACAGCTTGGGTCCACCTGCCGGTCGTTTATCTTTTTGGTTCAGCCGTTCTATTAAGTGAGGGAGGCTGGGGGCCCCAGTCCTCCTCACTTAACGGGACGGTCGTAAAGGGCAGGATCCATACATAGGGAGGGGGAGGGGGGGGGCAGGGCGGCACGTAAATCCTCACTTGGGTATTAAAACCTTAAGGCCCCAATAGCCCACATATCTCAACAACCCTTACTACCAACAGCCCGCCGGTTGTAATTAATGCTTGTACCCCCAAACTCAAAGCCTAAAATAAATAACACAGAAGATGAAAACCATTAACCTTCAAGCCCTGCCGGTCGAGAAGATCATCCTGACGCCATGGGCCGGATGCCCCAGTATGGGGTTTGGGGTTTAAGTTAGGCTAGTGGTTCAGGGTGTTTTAGTGTGGTCGGTCGAGTGATTTTTTGCGTTGTTTGGATCGGGTGTGGGTTAAAGGATGTGGTTTCGGATTTGCTGGTAAGGTTGGAGTTTGCATTTGCTTCGGATTATTTAGGATTGGGTTTTTTAGGTCGGTCGGCACCCTGAACCCTAAGGCCCTAAGCCCTAAGTCCTCAAACCCCCCTCGTCGGTCACGTTCGTGATGCAGCAGCTGGCCGGTCGACTTCGGTCCCGGTGCTGCTGTTGCTGAGTTGAGCTTGCCGGTCGACTTCGGTCCCGGTGCACTCCTGGGCTTGCCGGTCGACTTCGGTCCCGGTACTCAGGCATGGCACAGAGCTCGCTGTGTGACTCCGGTCCGCAGTGCTTTGTGCCACATCGCTTGCCGGTCGACTTCGGTCCCGGTGCACTCCTGAGCTCGCCGGTCGACTTCGGTCCCGGTACTCAGGCATGGCACAGAGCTCGCTGTGTGACTCCGGTCCGCAGTGCTTTGTGCCACATCGCTTGCCGGTCGACTTCGGTCCCGGTGCACTCCTGAGCTCGCCGGTCGACTTCGGTCCCGGCGCTCAGGCACGACACAGGGCTAGCTGTGGGACCCCGGTCCACGGCGCCCTGTGTCACATCGCTTGCCGGTCAACTTCGGTTCCGGTGCACTCCTGAGCTCGCCGGTCGACTTCGGTCCCGGCGCTCAGGCACGACACAGGGCTAGCTGCGGGACCCCGGTCCACGGCGCCCTGTGTCACATCGCTTGCCGGTCGACTTCGGTCCCGGTGCACTCCTGAGCTCGCCGGTCGACTTAGGTCCCGGCACTCAGGCAGGACACAGGGCTAGCTGTGGGACCCGGGTCCATGGCGCCCTGTGTCACATCGCTTGCCGGTCGACTTCGGTCCCGGTGTGTTTGTGCAGGGCCTGCAGGACGCGGATTTTTGCCGGTCGACTTCACGTCTGCAAACCACCGCCTGAGGCCTGACCTATGGTTGGTCACGTGTCTTGTCGGTCGCGACGAGGGTGGCTTGCTGGACCCTCAGTTGCAATGTGCAGCCGCAAGACAGAAAGCTCTGCTCGCCCAGGCCACCATCAATCGAGCACGGTTTGTCTGTGTGGCTCTGAGATTTTGGGGGCAGCCGGTCAGTCGAGCCGATGATGCACAGACAGACACAGGCCCATTTTGTCGTCTTCTGCCTGCCGGTCCAAGCTTGGCCCTAAGTCATAGGTTGTCCCTTCTTCACATTCCAGATACCAGATGTAAGCTCGTGCAGGGCTCCTTGCTGGAGGAGGACATTGACTGCTGGGGGCTGAGGTTTCGAGTCACCCAGTTGTGTGACTCCTGACCTCTCTTAGTCTTGCAGGCGCTTCTCATCGCCTAGCCGGTCGATGCTGGGGCCTAAGGTAATAGGTTGGCCGGTGAGTTCCAGATGTAAGCTTGGGCAGGCCTTCGCCGGTCCGGGAGGTGAGCTGGGGGCTGAGCTTTGGAGTCATGATTATATTTGAAGCATACATCGATTCAAGGCATCCTTCTTTCCTGGTGCTGGCCGTGCTACTCCCAGATTTGATCGAGCTGACTGTTTCAGTCAGTTCGATCACATCTGGGAGCAGCATTCCTCGGTGCTTTTATTGCCTGTCGACGCTGGGACCTGAGGTCATCCTTGGCCCTAGTTCGGGATGCTAGCTCGTGCATATTCTCGCCCAGGTTCAGTGATTTTTTCTGGCCGAGTTGCCGGTCGGTGCAGGAGCTGAGCACAAAGATGCTTTCAAGTTTGTGACTGTCGGCTTTATGTCCTTCAGGTGCTGGAGGGAGCATCTCGCATCTCGTGATGCGCCGGTCGTCGACAACGTACCGGCTCAGGACTCTGTGCTTTGCAAGTGAAGTGCTCCGCAGCTTTACTCGCAATTGCCGGTCACCAGCCACTTCTGTCAAGTGTGCTGAACACATGGTTGGCAGCCAGGCGACATGAACATAACGTCGGTCAGCATTGAAGTGTGTGTTGTGTTTCACATTATAAACAGTAGTGCCCTCCATTCACGTGTTGGTCGCCATGGCAGATGCCGATGAAGAGGATAGGCAGAACAAGGACAAGAAGGGCGACGCCAAGGCCAGGGACAAGAAGACGGTCGACAGGCACAAGAAGGACAAGAAGGGTGACAAGGAGGCCAAGGACGAGAAGACGGTCGCAAAAAAATCCAGGAAACAGGTCAGGGAGGAGAAGAAGAAGAGATCAGCCGAGGCGGTCGCAGAGCTCCTGACTGAGGTGTCTGAGGAGGGCGATACCGAGTCGGTCGGCAAGGCGGATGTTGAGCCGGCTGAGCCTGCAAGTGGCAGTGCTGCTGATCAGCCGGTCGCTGAGCCTGCAAGTGGCAGTGCTGATCAGCCGGTCAAAAAGAAAGGCAGCAAGTTCCAGACGCCTGACCCCAATGTCGCTTGGCTAAACTAGCTTGTCGGTCGATTCCAGCTGACTGACAGACTGTGTCGTGTCTGTGCAACTAAGAGCCGGTCCCAGCAGAAGAAGCGGACCTTCATGGAGTTTTGCTTCGAGAAGAAGAATAACAGGAAAACCACGAAGCCGGTCGATGATGGCGAGGCTTGGCTTGCAATACCACATGTTGTCATCAGGTGCAGTTGAGGTGCAGTTCAGGTGCAGTTCAGGTGCAGTTCAGGTTTCGAGATTGTATACATTGGTGCTGTTCAGGTGCAGGTCAGGTGCAGTTCGGGTGCAGTTCAGCTGTGTATATCTTATGTTGTGTGTGTCAAGATGTTGATTTGTGCAGGAACGACGTGGCCATGGCGGCTTTATGCCTTCTATGCCTTCTATGCCTTCTATGCCGCCGGTCCGCCCGGCGTCGTCACTGCCGCCTCTCCTTCCGCCTCCACTTCCGCCGTTGCCACCTTTGCCATTGCCCTTCCCGTCGGTCCCTCCGCTTACGCCTATTCCTCAGCCTCAGCCGCCGGTCGATGCTTCTGGAACAGTGCAGATGGCCCATTCAGATCTTCGGCTGATTTATTATTTAGTTGGTTGACTGACTGATTATCCTTGACCTGAAGACCTGTTTGTATGATTGGCCGGTCGAGAACAACCGAGATCTCAGACCTGCTCAAGAAGCAGGAGTCGTTGCAGGATCAGCTGGTCGCATGGAAACAGATCAGCTTTCATTGGAAGGAGGCAGTACCTTTCACAGCAGCTATCATAGTGTCAGCTGTGTTGGGCATTGGGTGAACTTGGAATTGATAACGGTCGGTGCTGTGCCACTTGGCCCAAGGCATATGGTCGGTCGCCGATGTGGCAGGCAGAGAATGTGGAGAGTCGACTGTCATTTGTAATGCTTCCGTCGGTCATATACGAAGTCCAAGGTTGAGCCACCTGCCCGTCATCAAGGAGTCGCTGCTCAACGTTCCACCAGTCCACTGCCTGGTGCTCAACGTCCCGCCGGTCCGGCGCAGCCGTTCAGTCCTGCAAGGCCCAATCCAGCCGCTGTGCAGCAGCAGCAGCCTCGGCCGGTCAGTGCGCAGCAGCAGCCTCCCATGATGGCCCCTGCGCAGCAGCAGCAGCAGCAGCCTCGGCCGGTCAGTGCGCAGCAGCAGCCTCCCATGATGACCCCTGCGCAGCAGCAGCAGCCTCGGCCGGTCAGTGCGCAGCAGCAGCCTCCCATGACGGTCCCTGCGCAGCAGCAGCCTCCCATGACGGTCCCTGTGCAGCTCCAGCGGCCGGTCGGTCATCCACAAAGCTTTGGCCCTGCCAATATTCCTCCAACACCTGGCCGCCCACAGCGGTAGTGAGTGGTGGGCCGGTCGACTGAACTGGTTTCCAGGATGCCCTCAGGTCCCTCCTCTAGGCGCTGAGGAATTTCCTCGCCGCCTCGAGGAAGGATTTCAGTGATCCGGGCCGGTCATCTGAAAAAGACGAGCTCGCGTATTATGTACTGCATCCTGACAAACATAGTAGGTTGCTGAGTTGGGAT